ACACACACACACACACACACACACACACACACACACACACACACACACACACACACACACACACACACACACACACACACACACACACACACACACACACACACACACACACACACACACACACACACACACACACACACACACACACACACACACACACACACACACACACACACACACACACACACACACACACACACACACACACACCACACACACACACACACACACACACACACACACACACACACACCACACACACACACACACACACACACACACACACACACACACACACACACACACACACACACACACACACACACACACACACACACACACACACACACACACACACACACACACACACACACACACACACACACACACACACACACACACACACACACACACACACACACACACACACACACACACACACACACACACACACACACACACACACACACACACACACACACACACACACACACACACACACACACACACACACACACACACACACACACACACACACACACACACACACACACACACACACACACACACACACACCACACACACACACACACACACACACACACACACACACACACACACACACACACACACACACACACACACACACACACCACACACACACACACACACACACACACACACACACACACACACACACACACACACACACACACACACACACACACACACACACACACACACACACACACCACACACACACACACACACACACACACACACACACACACACACACACACACACACACACACACACACACACACACACACACACACACACACACACACACACACACACACACACACACACACACACACACACACACACACACACACACACACACACACACACACACACACACACACACACACACACACACACACACACACACACACACACACACACACACACACACACACACACACACACACACACACACACACACACCACACACATACACACACACACACACACACACACACACACACACACACACACACACACACACACACACACACACACACACCACACACACACACACACACACACACACACACTCACACACACACACACACACACACACACACACACACACACACACACACACACACACACACACACACACACACACACACACACACACACACACACATACACACACACACACACATACACACACACACACACACACCACACACACACACACACACACACACACACACACACACACACACACACACACACACACTACAACGACACACACATACACACCTCAACATACACTGGACATCCAGCCAAGATCTCCAGAGACATAGTCCTTACCCTAATAACACTCCCCCAGCACACCGATAGTCATCCCCACCCCCATCTGAAAAATGTTACATTACCCGACTTTGTAATGGAAACATATTAGATTCTTTGCATCGCATCCCATTTATGTAAATTATTTTCTTCCTAATCTTAATATTACAATAGGGGTTTTGATCTGACCTTTGTTGATTATATATGTGGTAAAAACAAGCACTACTTCATTAAGCTATAGTTCAAGGTTATAGAAAAAGCTAATTGCAAAATGGTATTTTTTATTCTCAGAAGTATATTTTATGTTGTCCTTGCACACAGAAGTAGAGCAATAGCATATTGTAGAACATTACACATGGTTCTTATGCTAAAGAAGGGTGTTTAATGACATGGAGTATCAATGTGAAATATCACGATTCAAATTTAATATTGGTGTAAAACTGAAAGGAGGCAGGCATGTAGATCTTCCATACTCATCTTTATTAAAAAATCCAAGACATTAAGCACATAAAAGATCAAGAAGTCATGATGAAAGAAAAAAAATTTAGAAACATTTACATGTGAAAGGATCTTTTGCAAAATGTAGAAAGAAGTTTAAGAAGCCTTGAAACCTTGTAAGAAGTAGTAAAATAGAGCTAATATCTCCAGTCCTGAAAGTAGGAATATCTTAGATTCAGAAAGAGGTCTTGCTGCAAAAGCACTTGTGACATTATACACCTTTTATTTTCCATGAAAGTGAGTCATATCTTTTGTTTGCGAAACCACCATAATTATTTTTTTCTGAACTAAGATGATTAGTTCAAACCCAGATCACAGCAGCTAGAATTAGGTTTACTGATATGAATAAAAGCAACTTCCCTAAAAGATTGGTAGAATTCCCTTATTTTGTAATATTTTTGCATCCCTTCCTGAAGATGAACTTTGATATAAAATATGTGTAAATGATCCATGAAGTCCTTTTTTATAGGAAGATAGATGCTTATAGTAATTTCATTGTTATATGCATAAAATGCATGATTATTATATATAGTATTTTGTAACAGGTCATTTATTTAGTGAAAAAAAATATTTGTCAGACATGAAATAAGTAAATCATAATTCTGCAGGCTGAAATCAGACTATTTTCCTATTTTCCAGACACTGATCAGTATGGTGGATATAGATGGACAAGGCCACAGGTGAGAACAAGGAAGACATAACTACAAAAGACAGGGGCAAATGGATTGTAGTTTACATATAACTTTCCCAAAATAAACATACTATAAAGTTGATTGACATCTAAAAAAAATAAATTTTCCAAAGTAACCAGTAGAATGATATGTTTGGAGTATGAATTGACTGTAGTTGACTTTCTTAATAGAATGAAATTATTTCAGGTTGGTGCACCTGGATTTGAAAGGAGCACCACCAAGGATAAATTACTATGAACAGGCAAGTGATTAATTTAGGCCTATAAACATTCATAGGTGCACATGGCTCATGCATAATGAAAAACTTTTTATTATCAGGAACATTAAAAAGATAGAATTAATTGTTGTTTGTTACTGATTTCAGTTGTTTCCGCTAATAAGAAGCTTTGGTGCCACTGGTTTGCTAATAGAATATGAAGATATGTTTCCATACCATGGCAAGCTAAAGCATTTACAGGCTCTAAATGCATACACACCAGATGATATTGCAAAACTCCACAGCATGGCAGAGGTTAATAATCTCATTGTCATTCCTCTGGTCCAAACATTTGGACATTTTGAAGTAAGTCTCATATTTCTTATGAATTTTTTAACATCTTAGAAAATGCTGTCTACAGTAATTCATGATTTTAACTGACCATTACAAAGGGAAGTGATAAGGAAAATTAATAACTGTATGCATTTTGCAGTATGTCCTGAAGCATGATGAGAATAGAGCCCTGAGGGAGGTGGAGCATTATCCCAATGCTCTCTGTCCAACACACCCAGATGCTTTCCCTTTGGTCACCAAGCTCATCACACAGGTTCTGGAGCTCCACCCCAAAGACAAGCATTTGCATATTGGAGCTGATGAGGTATGGTACCTCTTCTTCTCAAGTTATTTATTGCAGTTAAAGAATTGTAAGCACACACGCACACGCACACGCACACGCACACGCACACGCACACGCACACGCACACGCACACGCACACGCACACGCACACGCACACGCACACACACACACACACACACACACACACACACACACACACACACACACACACACACAATAATAATAATGTTGCTTATATAATTTTCTAAAAATGTATGCTAATGTTGGGAAATTTATCAAGAAAAATATGTAAAGCATTATAGTGTAATGTAGAACACACAATATATACAATATTAATGTCTCTGCTTGGATGTGCAGGTCTGGCACATTGGAAGATGTCCTCGGTGCCAGGATGAAATAGAATCACACAAGATAACCACAAATGATCTCTTCCTGATGTGGGTACTTCGGTTGGCCAAATGGATCAAGGCAAAATATCCTCATCTGACACTCATCATGTGGGATGATATGATGCGACAAATTCCTCTTGAGAAGCTCCTAAGTATGTTGTATGGAAGAAATGTTTGACTTTGCATGCAGGGAAAGCAGGCAGTGGATAATTAAATAAGATGAATTAATAATTTCAAATATCTTTATCATTTGTGATTCATTAATTCCCCCCCCCCCTGACTTCTCTCTTCTTTTAAATTTTGAAATAGTTTTCATTATTTTTGTGTGCTCTTTCTTCATATCTTCCAACACTAACCAAGTCCTATTTCTTCATTAACAGGTAGTGGAATAGGGGAAGTTGTTGAACCAATGATATGGCAGTATCATGCTAAAAAGTTTGAATTTCCTCCAGGTATGTTAAACGTTATTAATAATCATGGCCGATTTTTTAAATAAAGATAATGCATTCATGTTAGTCTTCAAGAACGAAACCAGAATCCTTAAGGGGTATATCAGTTGGATAAGCTTATATATGCTTCTTTCAAAAGATTATCCTTATTCACAATTTAACCCATTTGCCCCTGATGTATGTTCTATCCCCTGTTCTATCCCCTGTAGTTTTTGCTGAATTTTGTTACCTACAGATGGGTCCACATGTGCTTAGCCGGCAAGGAGTCTATTAGTAGGCCCTAGTTACCGATCCTGATTTTCCCATTCCTTGAATTGGCAGGAAAATGTGTTTTTCTTATTAATACCATTGCCATTGATACTGTTATTGTTATTATTGATGTTATGATTATTAAATTGTCATTCAAATATTTTAGACAATGAAATTGATACAAAAGATCCTTTCCATAAGTGAAGGAAAAGGGTAAACAGGTTAGATAGGTAGTTCTGGTAACTGGCTATTTGGTGATTAAGTACTTGTAGAGCCATCTATGTGTAAATACAATAAATAAATGTGTATTACACTGGGCATGGCATATATTCTTGCCACATGGGGTAGAATGGGTTAACCTCCAAATTTTAGCAAAAGCTCAGAAACACAGGACAGGAAAAAAAAAAAACAATAGCACACAATTGATTTAGGATATTTATGTAGATGATTTGATTTTTCTCTTTTCTCCTTTTTTTTTTAATGGCTTTTAATATTTTTTCATTTAGTGTGCACACTTACTTGAGAAC